TATTTATTTATTTATGTATTTATTTTGGGGGTGAGTTCATTGGGTTAATTACTCATAATATGTTAACAACGATTGTTCTTCGAGTATAGCAATGTCACCGAACGACTTGGTACTAGAGTCCAGCTTCTCACATTGCTTTTTCTTGCTTAACGTACTTGCAATAGTTTCTCTGCTACGTTTGTATTATCCTCGTTATATTTGATTAAATCCACTTACGCCACCAATATTTTGTTGCTTTTTTATAGTTTTAGAAAAAAATGTTTTATGGCGCTTACGATGCAAACAAGTCATATAAACAAGCGCCGAAGATTTGATGTGTTGCTTTAGAAAAGCAAACAAAGAAAAGGATGAGAGATAAGGACGATACGTGTTTGTTAGGAAAGAATGAGCAAACCACTCCCGAGCATCCATCAACTACCCATCAAAATTTGTTGCCCCTATAATTTCAGTAACTCAGAACAATTAAGCGAAGCATAATAAGAATTACTTACTACTTACTCTCTCCCTATACCTTGCCAGTAAGCACGAAAACAGTCGACGCCACACGCCACACTTGTCTGTCCCGGGCCACTTTCTTCATTTCGGCCCATCTGGGCCCTGGGTGATTGCCTAATCTCTTATTGTGCCTCTGTAGCTTCCAGTTGGTCTTCCCCGCTTTCCTCTTCCAGTTGGTTTCCAATGCCATGTCTGATAGGGCAATCTCGTCTTCGGCATTCTCAGAACATATCCCAGATATCTCCATCTTCTCATTTTTATTGTTGTGTTGACATATCTTCAATTCCACCTCTTTCCAACACTTCATTATTTGTAATAAATCCATCCCATTTTATTAGTAAAATTCTTCGTTTGGAAGCTTTTAAATTTTCGTGAAATTGTTTTGTTGTTTGTTTTCCGCTAAAAAGAAGCGTACGAATTGAGAAAGCCAATACATGTAAGTCTTTATACGTGCTGAAGGGGATGTTGGTGATATCTTAGATAAGTACCTTAAAGTATCTACCGGTGTCTGTGGGGAAGAGGTTAGCCACTTTGCTACTGTACACCGAAGACCTGAGTGAGATTACCGTGTAGGAGAATTGTTATCAAATATCTCGACGGTCTTTTTGCTGGGACGTTAATTAATGTATCCCCATCAGCCGGGGTTGGTCCTGACAGGCAGGGTTGAAGTCCCCATTCTTAATGAGTTAAACTGTGTCGATGCGGGCATAAAAACACTTACATTTTTCTTTTAAAATATTCGAACCTGCTCACAAATACTTGCAGAAGTGTGCATATAACAATTGAAGATGATTCTCGTGTGCAGAAGTATAATAAGCATCGGTAATTCCGCAAAGCCTGCTTTTTATTTTAAGCCGCTGAGCCTACATTGCAATAAACTGAAGTGATCGAATGTGAGCTACTGCACTCTAAGCCACGGAGTATACATGACAATACTGAGGTGGTCAAATGTGAACTAGGGCATTTGACAAGTTGGGGTCATTCCCCTTATCTCTTGTCTGGACAACACAGACAGACTTGATACACGAGTCCACTTAGACACACTAGTGTGTACATGGGTCAATCTTTATCTCCTCCCAGTCCGAGCCCAAAATCAGGCTGGCTTTAAAGGCAATGTTGCGCCAGATTCTGAATCATAATATTTTTCAGATTAGAGACATGCATATGCATTGAACTTTTAACTAACTATTTTTCATTCATTCATTCATTCATTCACTCATTCATTCATTCATTCATTCATTCATTCATTCATTCATTCACTCACTCACTCACTCATTCATTCATTCATTAATTAATTCATTCATTCATTCACTCATTCATTCATTCATTCATTCATTCACTCATTCATTCATTCATTCATTCACTCATTCATTCATTCATTTATAGTATGCATGTTTTTGCCGGCCTTGCATACGTTTTGGGGGCTCTCCCGGCCTAGAGGTTAAGTTGTTCGCCTCTCATTCAAAGGTCCAGGGTTCAAATCCCGGTAGCAATGAAACATTTTTCTTCTTTAAAATGATCTCCTTTCACCCCCTTTCCTGCCCTCTAGCAATGTTCTGTCGTCTGATTTCGTCACCACTTTCTGCCCCCACCCCCTCATCTCCTTTGCCCCCTCCTCTGGGCTCCTGACTCTTTCTGCAGCCTTTCTACTGATACTCCATGGCTCCTTCTTACTGCTATCTTTCAGCCACACCCCTGATCTTCTGGTAGGAAAGATGTACACCTAGCCTTCTCGGACAAGGGTGAAAAATCTCGGAGGTCCCGTGTGCAAGTTGCGCATGTTAAAGATGCCTTGGTGGTCTAAAATCGATAAGAGTAGGCTTCGGCTGCTACCTTGGCAAAATTGAGAATTTCCTACCAAGAAAAATGTTTAACATGTCCCGCACGCTCATATGAGCGTATGCAGTTGCGAGCGCCGTAAAACACTTACCAAAACAAAAAATAAAAATAATAATTTTTTTTTTACAATTTAAAAAGAATGAAAAAATCTACGCACGAATAACGAAGTTTTGTCTCAATTTTTTTAAAGTACTCCAAAATAGTGCGTCCTCGGTGATTTAAAGCGTGTGCTCCTGACATGAGAGTTAAAAACGTCTCGTGTTGGGACGCGAGGTAAAAGAAATCGAGACCTCATAGACATCTACATTATTATATTTAACGCGATTTCGATGTCCAATAACACCACTAAAAACACGCAAACCGATTTAATTCCGACTAACTTATAATGTTGTCAAGGTGATAAGGTGTAGCTTGATCGCGTCTTTAGTGGACACGCACAAAGATTTGAAAAAGTGAAAGTAGCCCATCTTGACTGACTTTGAGATAATATTATTATGTTGTGTAGGCTTAGACTGTTTCTGATATCAAAATAGACTGCTTTAAAATAGCTGCATTCCATCTATATTTTTCATTGGAATTTCTGACGCTTGATCATATTATATTCAGTGATCACATTATGTTTAAATTTATTAAATTATGTTTTCGATTTAAAATAGTCTGTACACGAATTAAAGTGAGCGTATCCTTGAATCGTCAATCTAAAATCAGCTTATTTCGCCTTTACAATTTTACGAGCGACAATTGAGCACTTGGAGCATTCTAAGGGCTAAAATGCACTGACTAAAAAGCATTTTTACCTGTCAGGTCCGCCTGCAAAACCAAATCACTGGCCACCTCAGATCAAACCTTGCCAGTAAGCACAAAAACAGGATACCTAAATCGTCGTTGCTTTATCAACAAATGCAACCTGGGCACAGTCCATGTGTCTGAAACTGAAATGAAAGCGAAGTTCACCAGTTGAGGCTGTCCTGTGGATTGCCCAGACGGTTTGACCTCAGATAACGGGTGTTGGACTTTTTACTTTGTGTTTACGATGCCAGGCTTTATGGATTAACAAATGAAGGGGAAAAAATGAATGTATGAAAGGAAAATGAAAGAATGAATGAATGAATGAAAAGAAGATGAACTTTTCAAACTAAGTCAAGACATTCAGCATAGTTTTCAGGAGACAATACACACTGTAACCATTTTTGTAGACCTCCAACAGGCGTACGACAGAGTGGGGAGAACAGGCCTACTCATGATGAGGTTGGACCTCGGGATACACGGAAAACGTTATAAACGGATCAAGTTTTTACTAGCAGATCGATCGTCAAGAGTAGTACTCTGCTGGGTTGCACTTTGTTCCTGATCTTTTTCAATGATTTAACGAACGTGCTGAAATCTGAAAAGACTCTTTACGCTGAGGATCTTGCTCACTGCAGACACATCACAGCACGGTAGTAGGAGGGAAAGTGCGTTAAATCACGAAGACAATGTGTAAACATACCTTACACACTATAAAAATTCCGTGATTTTTAGCAGTTGTGTTATTTGTTCACCTGTTTCCAAAATTAAAAAATGGACAAATGCAGAAAAAGAACGCGTTGTGTGTATGGCAAATTCTTCAATTGCGCTTTCTTCTGTTGCAAGACACGTAAATGTGTGTAGCAGGACCATCTAACGCTTGAACAGGCGCTTTAACATCACTAGAACTGTCCAAGACAAGCCTCGACGTGGCCAACCAAGGGTGACAACTCAACGTCAGAGGTGGGTTATTGTCAAAACCCATGTTCAAAACCCGTTACAACCAAGTGCATAGATTGCCAGGTACATTGGACTGTCTTAAATCTCCATTATTAGACATTTGTACGATCGTGGATTACGTGATTATTGCCCTTTATGTGAAGCCATTCTAACCCTGTTTTATCGAACAAATCGCCAAATTTGGGCACAACAACGTCGTCGATGGAACTGAGGACATTGGTAAAGTTTTCCATTCAGAGATGGTTCAGGTTATTAATTCGTCGCATTGATGGAAGAGAAAAAGTGTTTAATAAGAAGAAGATAGAGATTTCCCCAAGCCAACGTCCCTAAAGTGGACCGATCTGGTGCCTGAATTGTGAAGGTGTGGGGCGAATTCTGTGCTCTTTATTGTACACATTTGGTCACTTTTCAAAGCAGCATCAAAGGACGACGGTATCGTGACGAAATTCATCGTCACGTTGACTGCCCAATTTGGCACGATTGATAAAATGTGCTAACAAGTAACAAGACAACGCCCGACCCCATGCCGCCATGATAAGCCAAAACTCCTTCTAAACTCCTCAAATCATTGTTCTTGACTGGCCTGCAAAATCAACAAGCCTTAACCCAACAGAACATCTATAAGATGACCTTGACTGGAGAATTAGAAACAGGCTGCACTCTGTACAAACTTGTCAGGAACGGAAGGGTGCACTTCACAAGGAATGGCACGGGATTTCTCGGGCAACCATAAGGACATTAATTCAGTCAATGAACAGACATTTTGTATCATTAAATCAAGCTGGAAGATGCCACACACAATACTGAGCAAACTTTGATTTGGATTTTCCCAGGGTCAGTGTGCATACAATTATCGCCCTTAATAATATTGGTTAATTCTTTTCATATCATGTTGGCAGAAAATTAAAAAAGATCATGTGTACCAAATTTCTCACGGCCATGTTGAATAGAAAATGAGTTATTGTACTTTTGCAACACGATATATTTCTTGACCAAATTATCGATGTAAAAGTTTTAAGCCCACATTAACACAAAACATATTACCAGAAGTTGAGCTTAGAACCTTAAACGGACAGCATTCCTCACTATAATAGCAGCCAATGGAAAAGGGAAGTGAGGAGCAGTTTCAAGACTAAAGAGAAAGACATGGCAGTAAAGACGTTATTAGATTTGATGATGATGATGATGATGATGATGATGATGATGATGATGATGATGATGATGATGATGATGATGATGATGATGATGATGATGATGATGATGATGATGATGATGATGATGATGATAGAAAAACGTCACGTGAGTGTTGTGAGCTCAGGACATTGAAGGGATTTTTAAAATGTCTCCTATCCCTTGCCCCCCCCCCCCCCTTTTTTTTTAAAATCCCAAACGTGAAAGACTTATTTTAAAACAAATAATATGGTAGGGCCTATTTAAAGGTCCTCATGAACGTGTCAATCTGGGAAAAATGCCAAATAAAAGGTCTGCCTTCCATGCGTGAGTTGTGTCATATAATTTGGACCTACTTAATATTCGGCGCAGATAAATAGACGTTAGACTTATAACACTTGATGGCACTAAAGATGACGAACAGTGTGCGGAACTCCGATCATTTGCTTTAAAATTATTTTTTTAAACCATAATCTTCATTTCTTAACCCACATTCCTTTTAGTTGAGAGTTAGTTTATTGTAAGAGTTTTACGGCACTTGCGACTCATGATCCCTCGACCTTTCGGTAGCGAGTCCAGCAGCCCACCAGGCCACCCACTACTACTACTACTACTACTACTACTACTACTACTACTACTACTACTACTACCACTACTACTACCACTACTACTACTACCACTACTACTACTACTACTACTACTACTACTACTATATTGGAACTCGGTTTCAACGAACTCAGATCCAACGAAAGGAGCTGGAATCCCCGATTTTTAATTCATAAAAATCAATTTAAAAAATAACTCGGATTCAACGAACACAGAAATTAGCAAGCTGGGATTCAACGAAGTCGCTTGCAGGGTAAACAGCCCCCACTGACGTGGCTTCGCTCATTTTTCTCCCGCAACGAACCATCCTGGTACTGCACCGTGAACCATTATTCGCTTCGCCTATTGCTTTTAACCTTTGCGACCAATCAGCGGCATTCTTTCACACTAACACTCGTGTTGTTGACACGTCTTGGCGTGTGTTGGGGTCGGACGGGCGGCCAGCACAAGTTTGACGGGTGACTGCGTATGCGTGCCGTAGAGATACAAACCCGTTGCAGTTATTTTTTCCCAGGCTGCTGATCAAAATTACACTAGAATGATAAGCTAATCTTGACGTAGATCTACATAATCAAATGTTGCTATATGCTAGGCTCTAAACAGGAACATAACTTGTTCGGCAAACAGTGCGTTATAGCAGATGACAGATGACACAGGCGTGCAATTGAACGAATCAGCCCCTTTGCATAGCGTGTGTTTGGTAGCGTTCAGTGTACTTCCCAGCATTTCTTCGGTATGGCATCATAGAAACAAAAATGCCTCTCATTTAAAACCACACTCTTTTTGGTTGAGAAAGTCGAATACATTATGCATTACTTACTCGGTGCCTGTAATTTTCTACACAAAACCTTCATGCTTGTTATAACGAACATTCGGATTCAACGAAATTGAAGGTCAGGCCGGCGACTTCTTTGAATCAGAGTTCCAATGTACTAACATAGCATAAAATGCAAGTCCGTACCTCCAGGCCATATTTCCCCCTAATGATTTAAGACCAGGCACGGTTCGCCCAGAGGGCATATTCGTGCAGTGCCGCCAAAAATGTTCCTTGTTTTATTGCCTAAAATATCCACAAACATAAAATAAAAGGAGCCAGCAACAAGCTCAATCCAAATACTTATAAATACAAGGTCCTCGTTGACGCCTTGACGGTAGTGCTGGGCGGATGAGTTCCCGATTATTGAAAGCTAGGAATCGTAGGAATCGACTCCGAACACAATTACTTATTTTCTAAAGATGTGATTTTTTTCCCGGTGGTTACCTGGTTGGCTCCGAACGTCTTCAGGATCTAGGATAACCTTGATTTCGAAACACTACGAAGCATTAACTTTTATTTTTCAAAAATAGATTCTTTAAAAAGAAAAGAAAAATTTAATGATAAAACCGTTGGTTTACGTAAAAAGGAGAAGGAGCATTACATATGTAGTATTTATCGTGGGAATCGGTTCCGGAATCGACTTTTCGCCCAGCTCTACTTGACGGTCAGTTTTAGTTTTAGTAAGTGTTTACGACACTTGACGGTCAGTAGGCTATACGTATAAATAGCGCTGTAAAACATCTACCATGTCATACCAAGGTCCTCATCTTATCTAACCTTTCAAAACGCTCTTCTGTTTGAAGTAACCAAAGTGATGATGTTGCTCACAGAAGGTTTGGTGGCACATACAATATAATGAATAGGACGGCAAAATCTCAACAGTGTACTGCCGAAACACAGCCCACAGAGGGTAGTCTAAAAATTAAACGCTATCTGAAACTTCACGATTCATTATAGCCTCTCCATGCCCAAATGACGTAGTGCTCAAGTGAATTACGATTTGTTTATTGTCTTGCGATTATTTTAAGCCTTGCCCCGCCTCTGTGACATTTGGTTTGAGCGAGGTCAACGTGACATAATTAGGCCTTTGGATTTTGTAGCGGTGAATGTGTCATTTGCCTACTTGAGTGCCGACACAGGATGAATGTCGTTGCTGTTTTGTTAATAAATAGCTTTAGAATCTAGTTCTAGAAATGAGAGAGACAAAAAGAGAGCAAGAGTGAAGGTACTAAGTTATCATCGACCGAACGATATCAAAATTATATAGCATCTCATATACTCTGCCCTTGACTATTTTCAACCTGCGATAGTTTATTTATGAGGCATCGTGATGAAACCAGGCGCTCGTCAAAATAATGAAATCGAAGAAACCGGCATTTTCTTCACATTTCCAAATGTTTATGGAATTCTTATTTTTTGGCTCACGACCTTTTATGTCCAATTAATAATACATTACTGTGTGAATTTTTACTGAAAACTTTGATGAAAGGCACGGAAAATTTACAGTTTCCAAGGAATCTAAAGTTTTGGAAGTCACCACGATTAGGCGACAATTTTCTCGCTAATTTTACGTCTGAAACCAGGCG